TTTCCGGCCATGTAGTTCTTGCATTGGTTTATAAATTCCCTAAGCTTCGAACGGTCTGAACCGTTGAAGATCTCGGGTTTTCTAAAACCAAGTTCCTTCTGGCTAGCATGGTGACGTCCTTCATCCATGGTAACTGTAGCCATTGGCGGTATGTAATCAGGTACGATTGGTGCAAGAGTCGGTTGGGGTACAGGATTCTGGGCAGGGGGGTTCCAAGGGGCGTCTGGTCTTTCTCCTGGATAGGAGGTCGTTATACCGCTGTCTGCGATGTGCTGGAGCACTATTCCACCAAGATTATGGGGAAGTGTCCTTTCAAATTCCTCTGGGGAGTAGTCGAAGTTGTGATTGTCTGGCCTGATGAATACAGGCCTTCCTCCTATGAAATGTGCGTTTCGTTCTGTGCTCCACTCTGCTTGGGATGGGAGGTGCTCGCGGTATTGCTCTGGAAGAGCGGTCGGGTTGATGTAGTTAAAATCCAGCGTGGATAAATTCTTCTGTGTGGCCTATGTCTACACGTAGACTGCACACCGTCCTTAACTAAGTGGGTTCGTTCGTCGTCGGCTAACAAGCCCGTAGAGTGTCTTCTGTCTTCAAACTGATACACCTATTTGCTGATTGCTCGAGTGATTACCTCAGCCTCCTCGGCCTATTGGTCTCTCGGACAGACCCCTCTCCGAAGATGAGTGATCAGTCTATCCCTTCAGCTACCTCGATTACAGAGTAATCTCAAACGGTGCTTTAGCAATCGAATCGGGTGTATCGTTCAGTCTTCAAGGTTCGGTCCGGTCGGTAGTTCGTTGTTAGACTCTGGGAAGTCACAGAGAGTAATAAGATCTCGACCTAATGTTACGCGGCAGCGAAACACGAGCGTCTAGTCGAGTCGTTACGAGACAAGGTCTTAGTCTAAGACACAAGTCCGTTCAAGTGACACTTCTGGCGATGTCCTCGCACTGAAGGTCGATCAGAGTTCGTTCTTATGACTCGTAGTAGCTGTCTGCTACTGACGGTCGATCTTAGTCAAAGGCAAGTGGAAAGCTGGTTTAATGGTAACCAGGTCGAGATGGGGATCCAGCTCGACAAGGTCGTCTATTTATACAAAAGGTATCCGCAGTACTACGCAGTAATGCGGGATCGTTCATTGGCTAGATAAGGTGAAACAATATCTGGGCAGGGTAACGGCGAGGAAGTAATATGTATGAGAAAGCTGAGTAAGGTCGTGAGAGATAATCAGTACTAATGGGGATAACGAGTCATGTATCAGAACGAGGTAAAGATGAGGCATACATGCACGTCTTGCATGTGCGATAAGAAGAAGGTCCGGAGTTGGATCCGGTGTAACCCCAGACTAGGGGTTCTAGACAGCTGGGTAAAGAATCGGAGGTTGCGCTCCGATGAGTCATGTGTTGGATCACGTGGTCTGGTAACGTAAAGGGAACAAGAAAAAGAAAAGACGCGCCACAAGTGAGGAGCGTTGTAACAAGTGCAGTGACAGAATGATCGTCGGGAGGAAGTAGACCCTTGAGCAGGAGTGGAAGAAGGTCATTGTCGCCCTTCTCGTATTCGAGGAATGATAGATATGGCAGTATCACAAACAGCATGGCAAAGTTGACGAATTTCTGAACCCATCCACCATCGGTAATGTGAAGGTGTGTGATACCGGAAAATTAGCTGATAGTTGTAGCGGTCATCCGCGCATGCGATGTGGACACTTCGTCATGAATGCTTGTATAATCCTGAATTGTGCTCTCGATGCAGGTACTAGATGATGAATTCGAGACAGAAGTGATTATGTGAATTTCGTCAGGATCGGTCAGAGTGGCTCGCAGATACATCGTCCGCATATCTCTCAGCCAGAGTAAGGAAAGAAGGATGTCCAAAACAGTGTCATTGGCCTCCCAGCAAGGATGAAACCGGATGGATGCATCCACCAGAATAAGGAGGTGAATGAAGAGTCACTGAATGATGGGCGTGGCCGACGAGTTGATGCTGAGACTTCTGAGTCGATTGAGGTTTATGACCGCAAGCGCTTCATCGCCCGCTGCCAAAGTAGGATCAATATTGTTGAAGATGAGTTCCTCCAAGATGGGGCAATTGGACAAAAATGCAGACAGAATGGGGAGCATCCAGTGTGCATGTGGTGTCACTTCTCTGACATTGGAAGTGAGGAAAAGCCATGTGAGTCATGGGAAACGGTTGCTCGGAAGCCAAACTGCGGCATGCAGTGACATTGCACACAATTGCGGGATCACCCCCTGGAAAAGTTCGACTAGATACGGCATATCGGCATTAACGGTGGATTGCAAAGTCAGCCGTCGTAGAGCTGGAGCGGCAAGACTGGTGCAAAAATGAGGATTTGAGGCAGATCTGATACACAGCTCTTCAATTCTGGTACGGTCCATGCGGCAAAGCATCTCCACGAACGAGCGTCTGCCTTGTGCGAGACTGCATACTTTCAGCAGCACTCGAGTGGAACGTTGCGAAAACATATCCATGGTGGAGTCATAAAGCTGACCGATGTGTATATGGCTCCACAGGAAGCAATCATCCAGAGTGATCTGCTGCCAAAGATGACAGACAAGCGATAATTCTTTGAGACCTTTCGTTGATCTCAGCGCAGAGGGTATTGAAATCACCAGTAGCACAGTAGATGTTTCAACCAAGAATGAGCACATTTGACCCCAAGGGACGAGTGAGGATGGGGCAATCACATAAGGAATACAAACATGAAAGCACGGCATAAGTACTCGATCGACAAACCCTAACCCTCTTCGGCTTGCGAGCTCACTCAACACCCAGAAATTCCAACACACTCCCTTGAGTGAAGCAAGCCGATAAAATGACTCACTCCCTGAAGCAGAGCACTCCCTGAAATCTCCACCTCAACCTCAACAACTCAACAGCATCCAATCCACCAGTCAAAATCCTTCCCAATCTCCGACATCCAGCCAGTGGTCCATGCCCAGACCAGCAGGGCTCCAACCAATGACTCTTAGGTGACAAAGAGAGACAGTGACGATGGTTCACACCAAGTTCTTCAGCAATCCTTCAACTTCTTCTGCAACTCTTCAACTTCTGCAACTCTTCTTCAACCAACAGATTCTTCTGCGCCGACAAGCGACGACTTCCTTCAAAAGATCCAAAAGATCAACCACGACAAGATTATGGTCCTCGAGCAGACACGGCATGTGAGAGTCGGAAAAGTGAACCTCGACCTCAGCAGAGAATAGCATATGACACATCTTCACAGCATCACAGTGAACAGCAGGCTTTTGGCTGCCCCCCAGAGCCACTTGGGTAAACCTCCAAGCTAGATCATGCAATTATATTGAAATCACCAGTAGCACTGTAGATGTTTCAACCAAGAATGAGCATGTTTGACCTCAAGGGACGAGTGAGGATGGGGCAATCACGTAAGGAATACAAACACGAAAGCACGGCATAAGTACTCGATCGACAAACCCTAACCCTCTTTGACTTGCGAGCTCACTCAACACCCAGAAATTCCAACAGAGGGCCACATGAACATATTGTCATCCATTTTGACAGGGTCAAGGACTTGACGAAATATGTATCGAAGGATCTCCGGTGGCAGACAGTTGACCGGACGTGAGAAATTGTACTGATTCCAGACACTTATAATCGCAGCATTTAGAGTGTGCTCAACACAATGCAGCTGTTCAAAAGTCAACACAAGGTAAGATGGTTTAATGCTTGCACAGTACTCACAGCGTCTAGACTGGAGAAAATGTATGAGCCAGCATAAACCTCCCGGAAGCGACAGACTGACCCGGTAATTCGCGGATCTTGAAGCCTTGCAAGAAATCGTTCTGCATTGCAGAGTGCAGCCCTTGCCGGAGTCAGATCCATCACTCACCAAGATGGAGTGGTCAAGTCGTCGACAGTTAATTAAGAATCAGAGTTGTCATTTGTCGGGTTTCGCGATAAGTCACAAGGTCGTGACTGCACGTGACCAGTGATTATGACAAGAAGCGCGAAATTCGCTCTCTCATACCTCAATAGAATATTTAAGGGCATTGATCTAAGGGTATGCGTCGGAGTAGCTTGTGGGCCAAAGTTGATATTATATCCTAGGCCGGCATTCACTGGTGCAACCGTCATGGGGAATACTAGATTACAAGCCAATATAATTTATAGATTGATACTGGATGCCTTCCCGTAGGATTTAGAGCATTTCTAAATCATAAAGCGGACTACGAAATGCCCCACTGTGTCAGAACAGCAAGATTTGTGAGACCGTAACGACGTGAGACCATGATCACTAAATCAAGTTCTAGACGGTCGGAGGATGAACGGCAAGATGACGTAAGTGATCCGTAACACCAAATATAGGCGACGATGGGGGTTGCGAGGGTGCGAAGATTGAAAATAGAGTTTAGGGAGATGTTGAGAATCTGGAAGAGAGGGTCGACCCCCCCCTTCCAGATATACTATCGTTGACCCGGATATGCCAAAAGTTTGGCACTTCTGGTCCCGCCGCGCAACACCTGGCGCGATAGTCTCCGGCACCCCATATGATGTTGATATGGCACGTAGAATACAACAGGTGGTTTTTCTGTATTTTTTAGAGCAATGTTGACCATCGTAGAGAGATGCCGCTGTGTGGCACCAGCCAAGTACAGTCCTGTGATTGCGAATTTTTTGGGATCCGAGCGGGCCACACATACTTACCAAAAATTTAGAGCATCAAGAGTAGGCACACAGGCTTCTACCTCTGCAATTTTGAAGTGATCAGGTAAGAGAATAGAGCCGCAGGAAAAAATTTGGCACTTCTGGGACATTTGGCATATCCGGGTCCACGATAGTAAGGTTTAGAAAGGTCTCCCTTTGTTCACATGCTCGTCGGAGATCGATTGGCCGACGTGCCGGAGTGATTTAGAGACGAAATTTAGCTTTAGAACATCCCTAAACGGCTACGGGAAGGCATCCACTACACAGCAAAATAAAAGAGAGAGAATGGAAAAAGGGCGCATGCGAGCGGCCTACCAAGCCGGCCAGAACGACTTGTGCGTTGTCTCCGAGCACACCGCCGGCCATGGCGCCCGCGGGCCCACTCCACCGTTCTCTCGCACCTCCACGATCTCCACCAGATCGCCTAGCCTTCCGACGCTGGCGCGCAGACCGTCCGGTACCTCCGCTGAGAACTCCAAGATGAGCCTGCGCAGCTTGTACCCAGCGCACGCACGCGCCTCCATGAACTCGACGAGCTCCACGATATTCACGGGCATATCTTCGGGCCTGTAAATATGGAGCGTCTCCAGGCGCGGGCAGGGCATGCCGTGCAGTGTTTGGGAGAGGTACTTCAACAGCTTGTCGGGCGGCCCGATATCGCAGTAGACGAGCGTCACCAGTGCAGAGAGCTGCCTTAGCAGCGAAGGGATACCTGCAAAGTGTTCCGTCAACACTACCTCCATACCTACCAGGTACAACTCGCGCACGCCCGCGAGCCTCGGCCACGATGCCCACAGGGTTGGCCAGCTCGTTGCGTTCCATTTAGGCCAGCAGTCAATCTCGATGCTGACTGCAGAAGACCCATTTGCAAAAGAGACGGAGAGCCTGTTGAAAGTCTTCTGAATCTGTGCGATCCGTGCATCGAGCAGAGGGAGCGTAGGAAGTAAAGCCCTGAGCTGATTGGTTTTGCAGGACATGTTGAGGATGCGTATTGCTACCGAATCCGCTGGACACATAATGTGCCGGAGAAGCCAAGTGGCATGCTCTGGGGACGGCCGACCGATCGCAAATCGCTTAAGGCGCCGCAAGGTCACAGCGGAAGTATCGATCGCCGGTGGGCAGCCCAAGAGTATGTTCCAGAGCAACAGATCCTCCAAGTTTGGACATCCAGATATGAACGAGAGCAGGTCACGCATGGCCCATCTGATATTGCGATCCGACGGTACGCGAGTACTCTGTCTGATGGAGGTCGAAATAAAGAGATGGGTGAGACTGTTAAAGCGATTGGCAGGTAGCCAGGCCGAGTTCCACAGCGATAGCGTCTTCAGGTGCAGCACTTGACCCTGGAAGAGTGTTGGCGTCAAGAAACCACCGTCAAAAGCATCCCCGTTTATTGTCAGGTGTTCGAGTGCAGGAGCCTGGAAGTTTGTGCAGTATTCCAGACACCGCAATGGGAGTTGTAGAGAGAGGTCCCTAGATGAGTAAACATGCAGGTTCCTCACCCGCGAGCCACACGTCTGAAACAATTTCATTATTGCAGGACTTGGATAGTCTCGATTGACACAGACATTCAGCGGCAGCGTTCTGTGCTTCACCACAGCTTCCACAACAGATGGCTCGAGCCTAGAATAACGGTTATCATAGATGGTGTTGCACAAGGCGGGCATAGTGAGGCAGATCGCGCGCCAGCCCCCGCAGACATTCTTCAAGTCCTCGACAGCGAACTTCGATATCAGTGTGGCCGGTGGCCAAATCATGTTCCCGGATGGAGTATCCATAGGTTCGACAGCATATAAAAGAATCATACCCAGAACTTCGAGGGCCAGGTCATTGATAAGACATCTACTCCCGCCCAATGTTTTGGCTGCCTCTTTGAGACTTGCACGGACGCGCTGTTTGAAGGGGCATCAGTAGCGACAGAGCAGCGGCATCAGAGCAGTACGTACTGCTGGTGGCAGAGACGATGCGCTGCATGTACAGGGAATCAGCAAAACTCTCAAAAGGCCACTTTCAAGAGTGAGACATACCCAACGTGCGAACTGACCTCTCTAACTTCCTCCATGGTTGTATGCATCAAAACAGGCTGAATGGAAGAATCTGCCATTGTAAGTGCGATTCTGAGTTGAATTCTGTTGTGTGTTCTAAGTAAGTAGTGGTCGCATGCAGGTTCTGGCCGCGACTCGCCACCGTTGCGCCACCGTCCATTGTTAAAGCGCATGGTCACGTGCAAAGTAAAGACGTCCGACAGATCCGCTTTCCGAGCTCAAGCCCAAGTACTCTCTATTGGTATACATCGACGCTGCCACCGGCTGGACGCCTTTTGTCTCCCAGATTGCTGAGACCTTTGGCTAGTAGGTCCTCTGGAGGAAGTCTTCGACCGTGACATTCCTCATCTCAGCTTTATCCTCGTCCCAGTCCTTGATTTTTACAGGAGCACCTCTCCACGATGGCTTATATGTCCTCACTCGAATCCGAATGTTATCTCGTCGTGGTGTTGACTCGACGAAGCGGACGATGTACTCTTCGTTTGTTGTTCTAGCCCGATAGGCAATCCCTTATCCCAGTTGTAAGCTCGTAGCTCGATCTTTCTAGACTGCTACCCGGTTTCACGTCTATCCTACAGGCGCTCGACTGCTTACCGGCGTTGCACATGTCCAAGACCATTGACCTCCTCAAAGCGTCATCGTTCTGCACTTAGATTTGGCCACCTCCGGCTGCAGATAGCACAATCTCCGCTTGGCTTACGCTGTAGTTGGTGCGGGTCTACATATATCTCATTTCTCAGCACTCACGTAGTCTTCCCTACATAGTATCAAGAAGATCCCAAGTCCCCATTGGATGATGGAGATGGGAGGTGCAATCGCCGAATTCGTTAGGCCCTCCTAGCTCGCTCGATCTCCCACCTTCCTCTTGGCAGTACGCGTCTTCCTGCCAAGAAATGAGGCACGTGGGTCCACGGTGCATTCTTCGCGGTCACGAAACCTGGGGGTGCACAGACCTCACCGCTACATCATGTCTTCTCATCTCCGGATCAACACCTTCCCGACACTCAGCACCAGCGCCCATCGAGGCCGGCTATTCGACGTCGACCTCACAGGACCCTTGTGAGGCTTTGGAGGACGCCACAGGCATCGAGAAAATCCCGAGTTTTCTTCCGATGTCCCGAATTCGCCAGCCCTCTCCCGTACGCGTCTTCCTGTTATAAGCTGAGTCGCATGCATCATTACTGCGATATTCGTGCACCAGCTTTTCGCACCCGCTACCGTCTATCTTCTCATGTCCAAATCAACGTCTTAGTGCCGCCGCCCATTAAGGATGGTGTGCGACATCGACCTCATATGACTTTCGCAAGACTTTGGAGACCATGTTCGATGCGGTAGAACCCAACCGGTCTTCTCCTCGCGCGTCGCATGATGTGAGGTCACTTTTGGAAGTTGAAGATGTTATTCTCATTTGAGCATCGCCCCCTGCCCTCCTTGATACATGCTATAAAGGACTCGATTGTGAGTCTGCGGTTAGGAATATCGGGCGTCGACCGCTATCACAGGCATTTTCCCTGTGTTGATTTCCAGCACATTTCGGGCGTCGCGTCCGAGCAGAAATCCCGCTCTGTTTTATGCTGAACTCGGGTTGGATATTCAATCCCCTACCGGAAGCGATGTCGTCTCCACCCGGAGGAATATTTACAGCAACATGGAACACAGCGGACGCATCGACATCTCGATCATTGATCTCGATCTCAAACAGCCAGCCTCGATTGTTGATGTGCGCCCACACGTAGGAATCGGGCGGGGCAGTTTAGGGCATCAACGGTGACAGCCCAGGTGCACCTCTGTGTCGCAATGGTTCATTACAGGACGATGCTCAGGGTGCCCCGGAGGGGCGTGTGCATGAGTTACCTCGCGCGCTTACGGGCTGGTGTGTGGTGTTGCGTTGAGAGTGGGGTTGGTGCTGAAAGTGCTGTAGGTGACAGGCTGCGCGTTGGGATACGAAAGGGGCTGTTCGCACTCCCAGAGCATGCGCACACGTCCGTCATATGCGTCGGACCCGGGACGGGCATTGCGCCGAGGCGCGCACTGATTGAGGAGCGGGTGTTCGCGGGCTCAACGGGTGTGTCCGCTGCTCACTTGTCTACCCATCTGCTAACGAGGTTGGTGCAGAAAAGACACTGTACTTTGGCTGCCGCTTGGCGAAGAACGACCAGCACTACTATAGTGAATGGGAGGCGCACGTGTGGAGGGAGCTCACGTACCGCGTTATATACTCGCGCAATGGCCTACCGGGGGGTCGCTCGGACGTATGTGCCTTCGACCGCGAAACCCGACCCACGATGGTGTGCGGAGATGGAAACGTAAGAAGAAGATTTTATTTACTTACATGGGTCGTTTCGAACGCTCCGAGACGAATACATCGCCAGACTCAAAAGTTTGGAAATGTCGACGGTCTTCGTGAGCGTTGCACCACACGCGAAGGTTTGCAGTGTCGAACGCACCTGCCGACTGTGCAGGGCGATGGCGCAATCCACGGGCCGAGGAAGCACCAGGAAGGGGGTTGATTGGTATTGATGGCACCGATTCCGGACGCGGGCGCGCGATGTTGCAGAGGAGGACAGAAGCGCGGTTGTTCGCCAACAGACGGTGAACGTACATCGAGGGAGGAGGGGTGTGGACACTTTCGACGGGCGTTGAGAGCCGCGAGAAGAGTGCTGGACGTCCCTGTTGCAGCGCCGGCGGCCAGTCTGACGACGACGTCGCTGTAGTAAGTTAGCACGGTTGAACACATACAAAAAGTGTTTTTTCTACCCACTTAGGCTGTCCTGCACCATCCAGAATGAACATACAGCCGAACGTTTGCGTTCGACGGCCCTGACGGGAGGTGTCGCCAAGTTAACGCGCTGCGTTGAGCACCGGAAAGCAGGGACGAGGAAAGAAAACAAGCCAGGGAGCAAAGGAAAGCAGGGAAGCGACGAGGAGAACAGCAAGAAGAAAGAGGCCGCGCACGTCCGCGTCGTCCAGAGCGCTGTGTGCCGCCGTCCCGATTTCTTGTCGCAAGGGAGGCGGGAGACTCGAGGGCTAGCACTGAGGCGCGCGGTCGGAGTTCGAATTGGGACGCGACAACGCGCGTGTGACCAGGCGTGACCGGACGCGGTTTGCTCTTCGTGTCCGCCACCGTCATGCCTTGGCCCAACAGAGTCCTTGCTCAGTTCGCACTTGTCCCTCCGAACCCTCGTGAAAATGAGTATTACGGGCCTTATAACAAACTTTTGAACTATCTTTTCCCCCCTGACTCGCCTTACACTGTTGTTCCCCAGTATCTGCAACCTGCCTCTGCGAAAGGTATCGAGTATGTCGTTCTCTTCGAGATCGTCGTCGAGAATAGACCCGTCTTCATATTGGAAGTGAAGGAGCCCGTCGACCTCGAGTACGTATCTGCGCGGGAGAGTGCCGATGACCAGATCAGACACTGCATTGAAGATTTAGTAGGTCAGTTGTGGCTCTTTTTATGAGATGGGGACGGAATCACTGATCGTAGTTGAATAACAAGGTCGATGCCCCATCCCTACGCTGCATGCCGTCAGCGCTATGGGAACTAGGCTGTGTTTCTACCGCCAGGACACCGGTCCTGGTGCTGGGCCAATTTTACCAATCGGTATCGCTCGACATCCCGAGAGAGTTAACGACGCTGCGCCGGCGGAGCGGTGGGATTGTGACATCCTGGATCCTGAAGGGGAGGCGAGGTTTCGTGCGGTAGTTGAGGAGATAAAGGTAGGATGTGTGGATCTTGCGTAATCATCGTCTGGAGGAGGAAAGAAGTCAATTGAAGTGTATTATTTTACGCACTGGGAGACGCTCGTCCCCAGTTATTGTTCGGTGCAATCATTCACTGCAGTTGTGTTGTCCTTTGTTTCCTACGAACCAGTACGAAATGTATTTCGGATGGTATTTCGCATGTACAGGACACTATCTCTCACCGTCAACGACAAGACAGATACTTATAATTGCAACCAGTCCGTATCGCCTATGTTCTTGCTCAACTGAACCTCCCTGTTGATTACACCTAATCAGTCTCCGTTCAAGGCCCATCTAGAGCATCAGCAGGACGTACCTCATCGCGAGCGACTTGAAGTCGCAACCTCGCATGAACATCTCCTTTCTCAGCCGCTCTCCGACAGCGACAGGCATATATCTCCCCTCCTCATCGTCTTCTGAGAATCGCCACCAAGAGTACCGCCACTTGGGATCATTCGTGGGGAGGAAAGGCGTCAGGTGGTGATTTATCCACTCACCGACTCCCAGCGAGAGGTACTGTAATCCCGGCAGGTGCTCCTTCACTTCCCACGGGATCAATCTCAGGGGGTCAATGGTGGTGTCGTGGTCTATGTGTTCATCAAGTATCACACAGTACACGCGGAGGTATACGAGGGGCAAACTCGCGTGTGCAAGTTCCTCCAGGACGATCCTCTGATGAGGTGCGGAAGTTCGGTCAGTACCTGCGGAATATGGTATACAACATGAAACGCACCACTAGATCGAGCAGAAAGAAGACGTCACTTGTGTGGCTGGCATGACCGGTGTCCCAGGGCATCATGTCCATCGCTAGTATGAGCTCAAACGATCTCACTGTGTGGGGTATCACCGTCACCAGTTCTCGCCAGAAATCCCGGTTGTGTCCCTTGAGAATTTTGTAATGTACCGTTAGCGCGACGGGGGACATTTCCTGCCATGGAATGTGAGGCGTGAGTTTGCAGTCCTGAAGGTCCAGTTCTAGCCATGAGACGAGTGACTTGGTCTGCCACAGCGCGAACGAAGAGACGGAGATGTTGAGGTGGTCCAGATCCCGCCGGGGAGTAGGACCAGATTCGTCGTGGTAATTCGTGTCCTCAGGGAAGCGTAGGGTCAACCTGCGGACCTTAGGGAACGCATGGAACACCGAATCCATCCGCACAAAGCCATCCACAAGAGCCAGTTCGTCTACAGAGCAAAATTGCAAGCAGCCAACCAGGGGCGGCGCGGATGGGGGATAAATTAAAAGAGATACATAGAGAAACTTTAGGGAAGAGAGTGACGCGAGGACACCGTGTTGGACAACTTCAGTGGCCGGGCTGTTCGCGTTGTGCGTCTCTTCATCTGCGACTGGAGTGCTGGATGGTGCCATGTAGTTCAGGATGTCGGCGATGCTAGAATCTTCTCCGCAGAACTGCATCTGGGACAACGTGAATCTGTGGGGCCTGCTCTTAAGTTTGAGCGCGAATCCTGTAACAGCTTTCGGCGGCAACAAGAAAAACTGGATATCCTCGAGCTCGGGGAGCGTGGCGATGGTCTCCATGAGCGCCGGGTGCTCAGCAATGAGGTCCATGCCGTCCATGGTCAGACGCCGAAGTTTCTTTTCGTTCGCCAGACGCGCGAACATGCGCGTCAGCAGTTGGACAAGCTCGGGATCGAGCTCGTTCCCTGGGCCATCGGGACGGGGTTTGAGTGCCTCATGTAGATGCATGATGTGGAGGTTATGCAAAGAAAGGATAGGACCTGGGGCTTCAGAGAGGATGGTATTACAAAATTCTCGGACCTTGGCGACAGTGCTAGGATGAACCGTTGTTGACGAAAGCACAAAGGGGAGAACACAAGCGCGGAGAGTGCGGCAGGTAGATGAGATCCTGAAGATACCCTCTGTGGTGCAACGTACGCAGATATGGCGTAGGGTGTCTTCATCGAGTTTGACGATATTCATAGCGTTGTGACTTGTTGAGTCGATGGAGTTGAAAGACGTTGGAGAGATGGGCTGTATGATGTACGCGGGCCAGATTATGTAGCAATAAATGGGTTTTCTAAACGCCACAGCATTGGCCGTTCATTGCCACACGATCGACGATGTGAATGACGGCCATGCCTTAATCAGGTCGGTCGGTCACGCCTCGCTTTTCCATTGTTCGAGCTTATATGTAGAGTTCGGATCTTGCTTCGTGCACTCAACGCTCTTGTCAGGCACACCCGCTTTGGCCATCCAGACAGAAAGCTGCTCGGAAAGCTGTAGGCGTGATGCGTGATGAACCAGTCGGATATGCCGGTAAGATACTTGTGCTGTCACCGCAGACGGGCCTACGTTGTCATGTTCATGCTCCAGTACACTGGTTCGCGGTCCTCTGGTAAATGAAAGGGGGGTCGTCGAAGGGGATCAGTTGGGTGTAAGGTGGTGGATGAACTGTAAAAGAGCCAGCGCATGTGCGTCCAATTCTTTTTACTAAGTATATGCATCCGAATCACTGATGATTGCATGAGTGGAACCGATGGACGCACGAGTGGAACCGATGGTTGGTAGTTTCGCGCCACAGCGACGACCACCTCTGCAAATGTTCCATATCAATAGATCTCAGGTAGATCCAGCGGATGCTTAACAAGAATAACTCATCCCAGTCCACCGAGTTCAACAGCGCCCACATACATCAATGTTCAACGTCGCAATTGTTCTCATTCAGCCTGTGTCAAGTCCTGAAAACAAATATCACAAGGCCCGGACTCCGTGAGGACAGTCTCACCATTATCTGGTTGGGGAGGGAGCAGAACAAGCTGGATGCCACTGCAAGTGCAGGGACCGGTGAGGAAATTGAGAAAGCACGGAGAGAGCAACGGCTACGGTGCGTGATGGCACTCGCAGCAAGTTACAGAAGATCGAGAGCTACCAGAGCAAGAGAAAACTCACAAAATCCTCGTGGGTGCACGCTTGCTTGAGAAAGTTGAGGTTGGGTCCTGGAACCAAGTGTGCGCGGTCTGCAACATATGTGCGATAACGTATACTGTATTGACTATGACGAACATCGATCAATGATAACACGTTAACAAGACACCCGCAATTTTTTGTGACGACTCAGCGAGATCTACGAGGGAGAATCGAAGGAGACGCACCTCTGCTTACATCGGTCCTTGTTGATCACCTTGCCCGTCCATCCTTCATGCCTTGCGCTACCTAACACTATGGATTCCGGATGAGAGAGATAGAAATTTTGACTCCCTATTGTCAGTTATCTGTTGTTTCCCAAGATGAGAACATGTACGCGGTAGCAGAAACTAGAGGGGAGGAGGATTAGAAACTATCATAGAGGGTAGGTCGAGTAGAAACTAGCGCGGAGGTCGAGCGTCTCACCTGACGTGACATCGACGTGACGCGACGCGATTGAGCGCTTCGACTCTTTCGATGACCTCCATGTCCATACCCTCACTAAAAAAAACCAGATTCGCGTTCACCTGGAGTTCGACATTTCGCGTTGTTGTCGGTGCGTTCGTCGCTATTCTCGTCTTTGGATCATACGTGATCTTTTTGGCAGATTCTACTTGCCAATGCCTATTCGGCCTATCATACAAACCAACCCTTGGACAACATCATTGACATTCAGATATATATTCCCCACACGCGATTTGAATCGGCGAGCACTCCTGTTTTATCTAACTTGGTCAGATGACAACTGCCCTTGAGACCCCTAGCTAGGTCGGTCCTCAAGCTTTGGGCTCCACGCCTCATTGGGACAAATGTAATGGGCATATCCTGCAGTCGTTCTTCCTGGTTGTCTTTCTGTGGCACGTTGAGGGCGGTTTCACGGATGAGAGAACGTACTGGGCTGTCCTTCGCGACTGTTCCAGTGCGCCTTAGGATATACGTCGACTTACAACCGTGCGACTTGAGTTTCGCGGCAGTGCCATTCTCTCTAATCGCGCATCGTGGGATTTCGCGGCACCCCCTGCTGTTCATTCCGCGATGCTACTTTGGAACCCGATACTATATGGAGTGTACGAGCGCCAGCAGAAAAGCTCGGTTAGACGTGCGGAACTTCTTCGACGGACTTTGAAAATTGCGCTGGGTACCTGTCGCGGCTGACTCTGAGGTATGTTCTCTCCTTGCCAGACTTCGGCTCAATTTCGACCGCCTTTGGCCCCAGGACTTTATCTCTGAACCACACGAAGTATGTACATTTCTCAAGATCCTCTCAAGTTGTATCTTGATATGTCCCACCGCAGCGAACCGTCCGATCTCAGCACGTCACGGTCCCGACTCCTCTTGCTCCCAACTGTGGGATACGTCGGTGAGTCACTCTAACTATCATACTCGCGACGGACATTTGCACCCGCGACGTTCTAGTGTGGTCCTCACATACAATCACTTCACAGGTTTAAGACATCGGGAAGGTCACTGTGCGCATGCATACGCCAGAGTACGGAGCATGTTCTCATTCTTGTCTGGAGCAGCGTGGACATGATCCTTCCCAAAGACTTACTTTCCACCGATAGAATGTTCAGATACTGATGCTCTCTCGAAAATCAGGGAATATACCAACGCAGTATATGCGAGACCGCCACTGCGCTCACGTCTCAAAATATCTTCGCCAGTCCGAACGACCCCGCGGCGCTACCCGTCACTCTCATTCGTTGGTTGAGTATGTACGGTCAATGCATACAGTGCCAGCTGGTTAACTCGCTCAGGCGTCGAATTGTATTTTCGGAAGGTTGGCATTTATAAAGAATACACTTGTTCATCAGACGAGCGTGCAGGTCAGATACATTTTCCTGCTGCATTTCGGGGCGATGTTCGGACGTCCACGTTTGAGCGAACGGTTTTAAGTACGTCGTTGAAGAGAAGATATGAATACTGTGGGGACGATGCATAAGCCACGGACGAGTGCTTAAAGCTGAGAAATGCGGTACGATGTTCAACACCACCATCCATAATGGGGGAATGGCTACATGAATCATAGGTAGAAACTGCCGTCAGTCCTGCGAGACGAGTCAAGTCAGGCCCGATTACGCTCCGCAGAAAAGTACTCACATGGCTGGAAAAAAGCGGACCGCTCTCGCCCGCGTGGGTGAGGGCCATAAGTGCATGGCGGTTGGTGAGTTCCATGTCCTTGAGAATGTAATAGCGGCTAGGTGGCAGTCAAGTGCGACAGGTATATGCATAGGCGCATAGTGACAAGAATTCATACAAAAAAGGAATCATGGCGTGCACGATGGGAGGACTGCTGCGCTCTCAATTCCTCTGGTCGTTTCTATCGGGAGAATCAATTTCAGAACACCTTTATCTACAAAGGTAGCGTGGACGACCCAAGAGAGGGGCAGTCGCACAGAAATTACGGACGAGAGGCTGGTTCTGTGACCTAGCTTCGACGGATGTGCACAAAGTCCTTGAACCAGAAGACCATGATCAGCAATTGCTAACAGCAGTGGTAGAAGGAGACATACCGCGTGGGACCACTGGCGACTCCTTCATACGTGGATGACTGAGCCGTTGCATCCGATCATGAGAGGGTGTACATAAAATTGCTAGTTAGCGCGCAGGGACTCACCTACAAGTTTAACGCACTACAGCGCTGTTAGTAGGTTTATAAGCAAGTCCTGGCTGTACCCTCATCCTCAGAGTATACGACTCGTTGGGAGAACGATCATAAAGAGATGCGCTGGAGTCCAGCGCTTATTCGCGTGTACTTGAACCGCGACCAAAAGAACTTCACACCCGGTCTTCCTTCCGAGTCCTGCACTCCGCCTATCAAGCTCCCCAATCCGGGGAGGCCAGTTGGGTATTTTCGAACATATCACCTAAGTTGTACTTGGCCGTTACAGCTGCCGCAGTTAGTCGGGACTGTAGGAAATACCTTGTCAGCGTCGGTATGGAGCTGACCGTAGGAGATGACTCAGTGCGAAGGGTTGCGACTGGATCAGTGTTGTTGTCATTGGACTTCGATGTAGCGCAAAGTTCAGTGATCAGATTACAGTAAGCCGTACCCATGTCCAAATAGCCCTAATGGTCATGTCTGACATCTCTTCGCCAGTACGCGTCGTACTCCTCAATGTTCAAATACCATAATATCCGTGTATTCTTCATACAATGAGCAATATGAGGTTCTTTTCTTCTCAGTCTCGGGTCCGGCGTAGCACTCTCGCCCGTTGGCGGACTCGACAAGATGGTAATCCTAACATGATCTGGACGGTCTGGTGTGCAATCTTTCTCGGGCGGTAAAATCCATCTTGCGTACCTGAGCACTCAAGCTGACGAGCACTAGGCAATAACTCTCCGTTGTTGTGAAGATGAGGAGTGGATATGCTCCATTGAGGAAAAGCAGACTGTGCATAAACGTTTGACCTCAACGGGCTCGCTTACATCGACCTTGCTCTGTTTGTTATGAACGCGTGCAATCCGTGAACGATGCATGAGCAAATTTGACTTTATCCACCAGTGGCCGTGAAGTACTCCGCCCGACTAGATGGGACGCGCATACCACAGTAAGATCTTCTGCGATATTTGTGCGATCACTGACGGACTTTCTGCTAGAAGCTTATACCGCTGCTGAAGACTTCCTTCCATTCAGAAATATGTCGACAAGTTTTACCGGGAGTGTGGCCAGTGCGATCGGTAGGCGCGTGGAGGATGTTATTTGGCAAAGTTATCGTTATGTGCTTTCTGACTATCTGCGACATTGAAGATCTATAGATTTATTCGCCTTCAATATTCAAGCGACAGCCCCGAACAATAAACAAGCTCGAAACACGTTATCTTCGCCCTTGCACTTACTAAAATCGCGCGTCTCCTTGGGTACAAAACAAGTGACGGCCTCGTTTTTGTCATCTTTAGATTCATCCATTGTTTGTACATTTGGTAAGCACTGTTCTGCCGCCCTTCTATAAAAGAGGGCACCTACTGGGTCCTCTCTCACAATCCCCCAGTTCTGCCATCCAACGAACGCCAAGCGCTATTCCTCGACTCCGACATTTTCTATGCGTACGTGTCCCCACGTGCACGCGTTATCCTACGAAGTGTGTTCGTTTCTCCACCGCCTTGTTCGACGTTGCCTCGTAGAGTTCTCGGTAGCAGCCCCGGACCACATCTCCGGTAGGGAACTCCAGAAATTTCTTTGTGCCTCAGCTCTCTTGACTGATAACACTTTCTTTGCCAGATGCCAAAGGGAATCATATTTTCAACCACGAACGACATTCTCTGTCCTCCACAATCTCGACATTCGACTGTTGGTGTCAAGGAATTCGCACAGGTGTGGCTCAGTGTGTCATCCTACGCACCTCGGCCCCGTCGATATCGTTGTCCTCGTCGCATCCAAGCTCATGGAGCACGCCAGCGACGGCACGGACGTTCGTGAGAACATTCCATGCCTCCGTCCACAGCTGATATAGGACGGAGAATCGATGACCTCAAGCACCATCTTCTAGGTCGTGGCGACCCAGCTTGCCGTCTGCGCATGACGAATTCGCTCCACTTGCAATGCAGTGGCTCGCTCTCGAATATCACACCACTAGCGACCCGTGTTGTGCAGTTCTTACAGGCGGTCTTCGTTCTTCGTCATCATGCGCAGAGGTCGCCATTCTCTTCTATGGCGCTGTGCATAAGCACACATTGGTTGGTGACACGGCTTGGCCGTAGGTTGCTCATCGACATCCTACGTCTCCTCGTATATGCCCTCTCGACCACGGCCAATTCTGGAGTGTCTGATCTCGGTTGGGTCGCTTTCTTATTCCGTCATCCCTTTTGTGGACCGGTTATACACTCCTTCTCCCTGCTCATTGGGTTCGAACACTTCCCATGCCGGTACCTATGGCGAAGTGGATGACAAGAGATATGCCCAGGCAGTCCGTATCGCTTGGAAATGGCGATGTTTCCGGCATCGCTGTCGACAAACCGGACCTTTGTTTCCATATGGAGGGTGCGAACAACCTTGTCTTCGAACACGCAGGATTATCGCAAATCCATGTAGTCCTGACTGTACGTTCCCTATTGCTATCCAAATTTGAAAGCATCCTAACAGACATCAATAGTACTGCAGTAGTTCGATGGCACGCAGGCCGAGAACCTGGTGGTTGAAGGTTCCGGTTACGCGCGAACAGCTCGCTCGGCAACTGAAAACTTGTCGGCGATTTTATTTGGTTCCGCTCCTTGCTACGTCGGACTGCATCATGTTCCCCCTTTATCTTCCCGTCAAAAACCTGCCACCCTATCTGAGGGACTTGTCTCCCTGCTTCGACATCCTACTGTCCGAGCACCCCGCGCTCCTGGATGCTGAGCCACCACCCTGGCGCAGCAGGGAACGTTCATGAAAGGGTTCAGTCAATGTATTTTGGGGCACGGCGTGCGGGGACACTTCGGCACCATCGATGCCATCGTTCTCGACGACGACGACACGCCCACCTTGGCTATCTCGCGACGTTCAACAAATTCGGCTTGAAAGGTTCTACATCGATCCGGTACTCTCTAGTACCACTGCGCGGTAACACTGCCATAACGACACGCTCCGACGAAGAAGTCGACACGCTGCTAAACCTCGACAGCAGCATCCCAGCTGGCCGTTTCTGGCTACATCTGCACAACCGCCAGTGAATTCGTATTCTCGCCATCGCTACGCATCAGCAACGTAGAGTATTTACCAGTCTTGAATCCCTTTAGGTTCTATCCACTCTGTAATTTAGACGAGCTCATTAAGAGTTCTTGTTGTCCAATCGAGGCATAGTTTACTCTATTCTGTAAAGATATACTTGGGAATCATCCACGATCCGAAAACCTAGCCAGCTGCGAGACTTAGAATATGAGACACTGAACGCTCAGCACAGTTGCCATACAAGGAAGTTGGCCTTCCCCTTTCGGCCACACAACTAGTTTTCCCTCTGGCGCTGGACTCGGCCTATGCACCGACTCTCAACAAGCTCTGCGATATCTTGGCTGTCCTGCACATACGCTTGAAAGCTTGACGTCGCTAGACTCTCGGAACGATTCTGGACAGAGGATGCGCAACGAAGAGACCGTGACGGCGCGAGCTGGCGTCGAAGTGTTGAGATCGATAGAGATGATGAGGCAGAGCGTATGCATTATGCACAGGTGCGACAATCGCTCTTCTCAACTACAAGCCCTGCCCCTTACGATGTGCAGACGGTAGTCTTGATATCTTGAACATGATTGGCCGCATCGCTGACTGGCCACATCGCTAACCCCGAGATACGGCGGTGGTGGCTCTGCTCGCCCAATGTGTAACGACCATCAAGGACACCCCAGTGTGATAGCTACACCGCAATCTTTCCGGACTCAGCAGCCACGTTCACCCTTGCTCCCTGTTGTGCAGTGTACGCGTGGATGGGACCTCATCATCAAACTCAGTCGCGTCAAGGCGGCGGTGCCACCTTCGGGTTGCGTTGAGCTATATATCTGTGTCTGCTCGTCTGAGCTCGGAGAGCTCAACGGTAAGCATGAGGATTATTTACGATATGCGCGCAATGCCACTAACCTGCCCTTCGTATTCTGCCACAGAACGGTGGCCATCAGTTTTGCCGTCAGTTAGACTGTCCTGCAGGCCGCCAGTTCCAGCGCAAGTTCTTTCGCTGTCTTCTTTCGCTGTCTCCGTCTGCCAAGGTCTTCGCTAGCCTCAAGGTGGTGCGTTGTGCATCGAGCAACTCGTTTTTGGTGCCACACTGACGATGGTGGCTTCGGCATCGTGCACTCTTACAGCTTACAACAGGCTATGTGCGTTCAAATACGAGCTCTGTCTACCGGAAAATTGTTTGGTCTGAACGCGCGTCGTGGGCGATGTGGTCGGGCTTGACGACAGTTTGCACACGTGTGACCCCCACTTGCAATCGCCATTCTATTGTGAGTCATGACGGAAGGATTGCTCGTTCTCAGGCGATAATGAATGCTTCTCCAGCGGAATGAAACAGATTGAATCATAGATGCATTTGTTTGACCGGGTGCCCGGCGTAAATTGCGCCCACAAACTCCATTCAAATGTTGCGTGGTTGCTATGCCAGCGCACGCGTCTGTGCTGCGCAATATTTTCTGAATAGTCCTCTCAGAATGGTCGTCCGGTCGCTGTTCCACCTCAGGACGAATGGGTCGGCTACCTGGAGCTTCAATCTCGATATGCTTCCGCGATGCGTATGATATGGCTTAATCGGGCGCGGTGCAGTACGACTGGTTGGACTTTCGCGACGGAAAGGCTCAGATTGTTACTGTACTGTATAGTTGCAGAGACACATGTTCGACGTATGGTAAGGACGATGTTTATTACCACTCTGGGAAAAAAATGACTGAACGCTATTGAGGATTGTGCAATATAGTGCCAACCACGTGTATACGCCTCGATCGGGCAGCCATTGGGCGCCCGTACCACGCAACTTCTTACCACCAACTCTGTAACAGCTTTCGTTTGTTCTGCGGCTTTCCGATGGTGCGATCTGTGCAGAATCTCAATGGTGTCGTCAAGCTTGTCTCTCAAATTGTTCTAGGCGAGCGTTTGGGGTGCATTTTCTGCGTCCAGCGCAGGTAAGCTGCGCAAGTGTTTGCATGCTTGCAGTTTCTCCGCTTCGGGTGCAAACTTTTCAGATTCATGCGCAGGACACGTTTCCCAGGAGGTATGCATATGTGTGAAGGTGTATCTATTGTGGACGGACCAGCGCTCGTGTTCAAGACATCGTCCAATATGGGCTTAAGTGCGTGAATTTATCTACTTCAGAAAGACATAGACGTTCACGTTCTGAATTTCTCACGCCATGCCATGATGCGTGCAAGATGCGCCTGGACCAGTGGACCCACAACTCCAAGAGGATGGCGGCGAGATTCAAGCCAGCGAGGATAATAGAGGTTTTAGCTTTTAACGGTGAGTGCAACGGCTTGAGAATTCTTCGATGGCAACAATACCCTCACCGGAGCAGGAGGTTCTAACTCCGAGCTTCTATTCCGCCCACTAATTCGATCTGGGATGACGTTCAGGTCCTGCAAACGCCCAAGCAACTAAGCCACCTCCCTCTACTCGAACCCCTCTCTCGCTGGCTCTCTCGCTGCCTTTTTCGCCGTGGGTGCTATTTACAGTGTCTCTGACGATAGGGACGTGCTCTGTATGCGTCGCAGCACTTGCGGATGCGTCGGTCGACCTGCTGTGAAAACTGTGGCCTCAACCCTTGATCTTCTTGCGCCATTAACAAAGCCCTTCGATCGCTGAGTTGCTTTCAGATTTGCAGATGTGGTGTTGCATCATCGGTTGCGAGAATTTGGGGATATAAAGATGCCTGCTAGTTGTGAGTTCTTCCTCATCGTCTCTACGTCTCTCATCGGTGGCATCGTCGTGCTTATTCCGATACCACTGCTTTCTTTAAGAAATCAACCTCTGTTCCTCTGTGGCGATTTAGTGAGTCGATGACCTCTCCTGCCTCGTCCGAGTAATACTCACTCAAACCACGATCTTCATCGCTCGTAGCGGTTCCGACATGACTTTGGTCCAGATCAAGAGGCGTTCTACGTTCGATTCGTACATGTTGCTCCACAATCTTCTTCTGAAGCCTGACCAGTTGGCTCTCAGGAAGGTTGTGGAGCAACTTCGGCAAGGGTTGCCTGCAGAGGACTTGGACCGCTTGGTCCAGCGTAGTCCACAACCGAGGCTGCGCATCAGTACCGTGGACAACTTGCTCTCTGCCGATTCTCTCATACTGGTGGACAACTCAAGTAAACCCTGGATGTCAACCTTCGTGGATACCTTCTGCGACCGCCTCCCGATTGTTCGGTCGATTTCAGTCAGCAAGGTAGATTGGTCCTATTGTGCCGTCTATCCCTTACCTTCGTGGAAGACGAAGCCACATTTTCAGAATGTGAACGCTATATCGTTTTCTTCCTGCAGGTTTAGAACAATGACACAGCTATATGACTTCATCTTCCCCATGCATTCTCTCACACGTCTTCATTTATCTTGGACATACTTCGACAACGCTCTCACTCGCATCTCTAACGTCACGTTTGGAGAGGAGAATCATGCTGATCTCCTAACGAAATTGCGGAGTTACATGTGATTAAACGTGAACGTTATACTGCAAGAGTGTTTTACGCTCAAGGAGTCTCTACCCCACGTGCTGAGTAGCAGCACCCACTGGTGGCCCATCTACCCTTTGGGTTCTGTTCTTTGGTCTCTAGTCTCTTCATCTTTCGGAACCCTCGCTTTTCGATCTATTTGTCCTTCGATAACTCATCCTTCGGCCTACTCGGTCTGTTCCTCCTCCGGTCTTCCTGGCTATATATCTTCTTCCGCATCCTCCCCTTCCTCTTCCGCTCGTTTGATCCGATTTCACTCCCATTCTTCGTCCCTGTTGCCTCGCGTGAAGTGTTTCCGAAGCTAGGTCCCCCGTCTCGAGGACCAAGCCTCTTTGCACTAACTGTTATGTCCTGATCGGCCTTGCTCCCCGTGCGGTCAAGCGATTGCTATGCATCGATACTACATCATTCGAAGTGCAGGATAGTCCTACGCAAACATATTCCACGACGTGCGGCTGTTACATCTTATCTTTGTAGGGGTATTCGTTCCCTTTCATTGGACATGAAAACTCATCCTGTATAAACGATGCGCCTTGCGATTTTTATGTATACGTAAATTCGTACTTGCTATATGTGAACCTTAGCGCGTTGTGGTGTATGTTTCTCGATAATGGTGGTGCGAATTTACTGGGCAGGCAGCTCGTCTGCAACATGCAGTACTATACTACTTGGTAGTCAATGGCAGTGGTGAGATGAACTATGACTGTCTAGGTCTAAGGATGTACAGACGAATACATGTTTTCTTCCTTTACGAATTGCACTGCAACATACTGTACCATTTCACTCTATTCGACGTGTCACGCGTCACAGGCTTGCCCATTATGGCACATGCCACTGGTCACTATACACCCGAACTTGTGGGTGAGCGGCGCTGCATTCGCACGCCATGTCCGATTCCCTAGAGGACCCCTGACAATAGGTGGAGAGGCCTGATCCAAAATTCCGAAAATCAGCCCCAAACATCCGGAGAAATTTTGTGATTTTTTGGCCCATACTTCCGGATGAGATCAGACCTTCGTCCAATTTTTGGGCTCCTGTCCGGGTACCGCATCAGGCTTTTCGGCAGCCGACCGCCTATATAAGGCAGGTATGGGCGCTTCTGAGAGGCGGCGGCTCCGCCGCCGGCTCGAGGTCGGCGCTTGTCGGCTTCCGGGGCGTGGATGGCCGGCTGAGGATCAGGCCTTCGCCGAAACTGACAGGAACTGCCGGACATGAGATCACCTCCGGAGGCCTTCAGGGCCCTCCGACGTCCGGATGAGATCAGGCCTAAGGCCTCAAAAATCCCAAATTTCGTCCGGATAAGTCATCAGGCCTCTCCACCTATAGTCAGGGGTCCTTTCCCTAGTCCCCCCACGTATATTCATAGCATCAATTTCTGCGAGAGTGACATGTGATAAGGCAGTAGTCATAGTAATAGTATACAAGAAAATCCCGTAGTCAAGACATGTAAATTTACGGTGGCAATCACTGCAAGCGAATAGTGGGGAAGAAAATAAACGTAGGTAGCGCAGATTACAAGCAGTAGCACAGGCTCATATAAGATAGAGGCTATTTAGATGAATGATGAAACTTTCGCGCGTGGAACAACAGCTCTAATCTCCTGGGGCCCATCATACAGACGCGCTATAGTGACGAGTTCGAAACCTGTCCGCCACTTGGTCCAGCCCTTCTCGTATGAAGCCTTACCTTTAGCATCGACCCTCCAATGAGTGATGTTACATTCGACCAGGACGAGATCATTTTTGTGGATGTCCGTGGCATGCATCTGTCTCATAGTGTTCCTGGGGCCGAACTTGGTGTCGGCATCAAATACATCTTGGAAGGCTTCCACCTTAAAGCAATGAATAACAAATATTTGTTGAAAAGAAGAAATTCAACATACAGAAGCATACTCTCCACTCCCGGTGCTCTGGAAGCGTGACGCTTTCAAAACATCTGAAGTGTTTGAACTGATCTTGATGCTCACAACGGCCAAGGGTTCACCGCGAAGTTTGAACCAAGATGAGTCGACTTCTCCGATGAGCCACACAGTAGCTGGTTTATTGTCTACGATGAGGAGAGGATATAAATCCAAAGCTGCAAGTGTCGACATCAGCAAGGGAGAGAAGGAGGGAGAAAGTATCAGGCACACTCACATCTATGCAGCATACAGAATCTACGTGAAGAGTGAATGCAGCTGCGAGAAGATAGAGGATGGGTGCAGAGATGCAGACAATCACCCTTAGCCATCGGTCCTCCTCCAGTCTTTCATCGGAAATAAACTTTCAAGGAATGCCGGCCGACTTTGTGTTGCGGAAATCTTGAACAGGAAGCGGGAAACCCGAAGTGAATCGGGTGGCCTGAAGACGGAAAGTAAAAAAAGCGGATAACCATTCTAAGAGAAAATTACTATATGCGGCGCGGGTACAACTTTATGTCAGCAACCACCATACGTGCACAGACTGATAACCGATTCTTTAGGGAATCGGAACGTCTTCGTCATATGTCCGGTTTTCGCACCTCATCGCGAACACGCTCGTACAGACACCCTCACTGAGACATCGGGTATTCTCACTAATGCCGCCGCCCCCGATGACCTCTTAGCGCAAATCCTCTCGTCTGCACGTGTGCTGTTCACTGACCATGATATATGGCCCCTATATCATGCGAGATATTTCCTCGGTGTACTACCGCCCTTACCAGAAGGCGAAACACTCCCGCGCCGCCGCCTTCTGCTCAGAATCGCGCACTGTTGGCATCGAGCATGCATTTTCCTCGCCGGCAGAATCTGGGCTGAATATAAACGCAGGTTGCGTCCTGATCGGTCGACAACGGTTGCCTCTACCATCGCGCTTCCCCCTCGCCTCCATGATCTCTTCGTTTAGTTTACATATGGTTTCTACCTACGGCTGCCTCTACCATCGCGCTTCCCCCTCGCCTCCATGATCTCTTCGTTTAGTTTACATATGTTTTCTACCTACATTGCCTCTTTTGTCTCGTATTACCAAGCCGGCCGACGAGGTATTACGTACTTGAGCTATTTTGTGTAGCGTAGTCGGTTCGAATCCATCCGTTCTCCGTTCTCCCTGAAGGTGGTCGAAATTGGCTAAAAAAGCTCCGCGAAAGTCGAAATTTTTTCCAGGTCACAGGTCCGGCAACCTGTCGAATCGAATCAAAACTTCGTGTCACATGTCACACCGGATGGTACAGTAATCAGTTGGAGCCTATGCGACTACGCAAAACTGAAAAATAGTAGTATAGGGAGCCATTCCCGCGTATCTTCGGGACTTCAATCAAAACTAAATATCTCGACATGTGACATTCACTGCGTTTCAACGGTCTCAGGTTCCATGATGTACTGTACCCTCATGTCGGCCAGATTTTCTTCAGTAAGTAATGGTCAAGTGGTACCTATAATATGCAAGAACTTCCCGATTAGTCTGATGTGCGAGAAAATGGAAAGTAGTACCTCACTATCACCTGAATGCGACACAGCGCAAGAACGCGAGGCAAAGTCTACGTTAAACAAATCGCGTTTAGTCACGTGCATCTGACATATACACATAATTTCTTCTGAAGCACACTGCACGGAAATGTCTGGGTTGAGTGCACAGAAATGACCGTATACATTACAGAACATATATTGAAATTTAAAATCAATTAATGTGAAGAACTTGGGGAGAGAGGTGGAAAGTGGTGAGCACTGGGAGGAAAACACGCGGGTGACTGAAATTGAACCCCGTACAACCAGTTTCCTATCCCCCTTGCAAACAGGTTACAGTTGGGTATCCTTCAAATCTCGCCCCCCTCTTGACCATCTCTCTCAACGTCATCAGGCATAGCAATGGTCCTGCTCGCATTGTCCTCCAGGACATTGCCCTCATCTTCGGACGATTGACTGTTGGTGAAGTCAACACCTCAATCGTTCAAGCGCCTTCCAGAGAAACTTACTCTTCATACTCGGGAAAAACCAGGCAACGCACCGTCACGTTGCGATTTACTAGGTCAGAAAGTGCATTCTCTACCCCCTGTTGCAGGTGAAGCTCGGTAACTCCAAGCGGCAGATTGAACTTGACGAGTACTTCTGCACATACCAAGCAAAGGTTCCTGAAATGACTGTGGCTAAGAAGCTTGTCAACAGGCCCGAGGCGGTAATAGTCTATGGTATCTCCCTCCAAATTAAGTCGGGTTGAGAAGACAAGGTGCTGGAGCCGACTGGAGGGGGAGATTTGCGAGAGTAGCGCAGCAAGATAGGAATGTATGTCTAGCGTGTCGATCCCCGTGGGTAATATAAGATGCAGTATCTCCAAATCCGCACATTTTGTCAGACAGAGACTGCTGCAAAAGCCTGGGGATAAGTCAACAAAACACCTCCACCCTTATGATACGCACAACTTACTTTTCACTTGGTTCTCATTAGTTAATTTGACTCGGAGATCCTTCAAATGCTCACCCACTAATGATATCATCCGCTGGCTCGCTTCGCTCTCCATCTGATCCGTGGCCGTATTCAGCTCCAGTCTGTGCAACGCCCGAATAGATGGGGTTACACTCAGCCAATCATACAAAGCATAGCAAACATCGATGGTGGTCAAAGATTCTAGTCGCGGTCTTGGGGAACCGGCTACAGCTTCAAGAAACTGCGGGGAGGGATTGCTACGAATTTTGAGATGATACAAGTGGAGTTCTCGCAGATTGGGAAATGCAGAAATGATGCGTCGAAACACACCAAATGTGGAAAATTTGCAGTCGGACAGAACCATCTTGACGGTACCTGTGAAGCTTGCGAATCCAGTTGCCAGCACGTTCGGAGGTAATGTAGGACTACCCCAGTCAATACCGCTCATACTGAGACTTGTAACGCCAGAAAAGGGCTCCCCCAACCTAAGAGCCATGGTTTGTATCCACTTGCGTTGGTTCGCATAGTCTGAATATCCCGTAATGTCCAGAGAGGATGTGACGGCGAACAATGGCCGTAGGTGGGGGGTTTCTGCAGCCCGCACAATAGACTTGAATTCTCGGAGGCTCCCGATGAGCATTACTTTGAAAAGATGGAATTGACTGCGCGGGACCCACGCGCGGCATACGAGAGAACAACTGTAGAGCGTCGATCGTAGATCGCATAAGTCGATAATGCGATCCATCAATTCATGCGGAAGTTTGGGCACAACAGGACTGGATTGCCCGTTCGTCTTTGACATGTAGGAGTCAGATTATACAAAATCCACCGTGATTATCGTTGATTCATACCATGCTCACCGACAAACCGCTTGTGACCTCCGTCAGATACAGTTGAGGAGCACGTTCTTCATCAGCCACTGGCGACAGCGAGTCAGTTAGAATCTCCGAGCAGTAGCTGAACCGCACTCCTAGTATGCTAGTAGCCACGAATTTATTTGATCTGGTGAGAGAACATGGTGCGGGATTGAAGGTTTGGACCCTGGCTTGCATGCGATTGTATCTAGATAATCGGTAGACGAGACGCTGGCGGCGTAGCACGAGTTGGAATGACGTCGGCGAGGACAACGTGACCAAGGCTTCCCGGAGGGCCACAAATCGAGACAAATCGTGTGTACGACGCTACTTTGCGATCCTACTTGCGTACGTGTTACCGCAGCTAGGGTTTGGAACAGCAGCTGTGGTGTTAATTATTTGATATTAACGAAACTGTATTCAGTGGAGCTGCAGCATGCGCGATGATGAAGCAGTGCTAGAAAGCTACGCATGCACAGCCGATACACAATGAGTCCGTATACATTCAACTACAATGACCAGCGAAGACGTCCACGAAGACTCACCAACACGATATGGACAGTTCCTATGTCCCGATCTTTCGCCGGCCTATTTGGTCAAGGGAGGTCGCTGAGCGCTGAGTTTGGACGCTGCTGCTGAGTGGGTCTGAAGCTGTAAAACTAACGACAAAGAAACATGCGAATAACACTCGAGGTGGACCATCCCTAACACTGAAAATCCAGAAAAATGACACAACGTGAAGAGGAAGAGTAGCAGCACTTCAAGAGCGTTTCCGGCCAGAAGTCTCCATGCAATCACACGGCCTCCGTCGAGCTCCAAGTACACGACAAGCAGGATAGGAATCAGAGAGCCCGAATTAAGGAGCTGGGAACCATCAGAAAGGAATGCGCAGTCACTTGCCGATGCAGCGTTCAGCGAGGGGATGAAAAAAAGCTAATTCGATCCCGCGTGCAAAACGGTATTCATTGCTTGGCGATAGTGATTCGAGTCTACAGAGATAAGCGACAAGACGCGACCCGGCTCACGGCTCGCGCGCCTCCGCACTGCGTCTACTAGCCTGCTCAAGCGCACGATACATATTCGAAGTGAAGCTCGAGTCGGGGGAGAGACCGAGGCGAGCGGCGAGCGGAGGGACAGCGGCAGGGGTGAGGATGAGGCGAAGGCTTGCACCATTCGGGTTCTCTCCATTTTGAGCCTTTGGCTCGGGGTTTGGCGGTTTGTGCACTCGATGGTCTACGGGAGTTTGCGATAGGTCTAGTGACACGTCGGCCTCAAGGTTTGCGTCGCCGTCCGTTGGGGGCTTCTCTCTGTCAGCGATTGTCTTGGGTGAGTACTCCGCGTAAATGGCGTCGAGGTCGGAACTCGCTTCTGGAACGATGGCACCCTGGTCGAGAAACTCCTCCAGATATTGCGAGGCTTTATATGCTGTTGTAAACAAATATGAGTACTGGCTCGGAGAGACGGCGAGAAATTCTATGCGCACCGCGATAATGCGACCATGAGCGCCATGCACAGAAGAAGAAGGGAAAATTGGGTATTACGGCTGGACAAGAAGGAATGTGACATCAGGAACGATGGGGCATAGGACCCGCGATACATGACGTACGGACTAGTATGAACGGCGAGGTAAGTGGTGCAATCAGCAGCCATGTAATAAAGCCCCGTCTGTGTCGCGGGGTACGCTTCTCGAGGAGGGTGCGTAATTGCTGCAGCGGTGACGAACGGGCGGACGGCGGGTAGACTAGGGGTATAGTGGGATGATCGGGGTCGCGGGGCGAGGGCGACGGAGCAGAAGAGGCTGAACGGGACAGAATCTTGGGCCCGAGCGATGGGTCTACGGACTGCAACGCAAGTTCTTCAAAGTCGAGGCGGTTCATGAGCCGTTCGCCGTAGAGGAACGTCTTCCGCTGCATCCCGCGTTTCGACAGCCATGAGCGGGAGGTTAGACAAAGCCGACTGGGGTACTCACCTTCCACGAACTCTCCTCCGCTTTTCCTAATTTTTCCCATAATTGTGAAGCCTTCGTGATCGCCCGTCGGGCAAAGCCTTGACGTTCCTTCGCAGACAGCGGGGGAGTCAGGAAATGGTAGTAAGTCAGCTGCGCAGGAGATTGGGAGGCAAGGGTCGGCAGAGGAGCGTTGGTGAGTGGGAGCGCGATGATGCGCAGGGCCCGCTTGCTCGTCGACACTGCTCCAGCCATCGCTCTCGACGTCCGCGACGATCTGCAAGAGTCGGGGTGATCACGGTTAGACTCGCGCGTCGCGTCGGCGTCACAGCACGTGCACTTCACTTTTCCTCCCGCCACGATGGACTCAGAGCCAGGCTCCCCGAACTCCTCTTCCTCGTCCGGCACATTGCCAGACGAGCCCACTTACTCCAGCCAGATGGGTGACAGCATCGCGTCCATCTTCCACGCCGTGACATCGCCGATCAAGCGTCCATTCGCGTCGGGGGGAACAGGCCCGTTCGGCTCACATAACGTACGCGATACGAAAGCAAGGCGTCGGGACGGGCGCGATTTCATGAAGGACGATGCTCCCAGGAGAGGCGGGTGGGGATCGCGTGACGATCTGGTAGATACTCCGCTAGTCGACCAGCTGCGCGCGCGTAAGTTCTTCGTTTCGTATCTTACCCCACAGGTGGATACTGATTAACGTTTACAGAATTTGGCGACCCCTTCGATGATAGCATTGTGAAGAATGCAGAGCGTTGAGCTGAGAATCGGGCAAAGGCGCGTGGTCTGTGTATCCGATTGTATTCATCGTGCTAATATCGATATTACGATCGCAGGGTTTCGTCTCATGTTTTTACATCCACTTGTGTACAGTAATAATCCTCACGATGTGCATCCGTTTCCTCGACTTCTGATCTCGGTAGGATTATATTGCCTCTCACGCTTCAAATTTTGACGAACCTCAAGCCCGACTGCAGCCTCGTTCCTTAGGTGTTTGTCCTCACTCAAATCCGCGATCGCTCACTTGTCCTTGTGTTTATGGGATCTTGCTTTCTCTGTACTTTACTCTCCCTCAACATCGGCTGATCGGTATACCTCCGACGTGTTGCAGGACGAACACCGAGGAGGAATGGATGCTTCACACAACATCGGCTTCAACCTCGGTGACAAACCGAAACAGTACTTGTGTTACATCCGCGACTCTACATCGCATTTTTCTCGATGGATCTTCAAAGCATCAGCTTCGCGAGTCCCTGTGGCGTTGAGCTCTATCGTTTTGATTGTTATCGCAATTCGTGCGTAATCAGCGGCCTTTTTCACATCAATGATGATATTCACCCGCACTTGCCCTTTGCCACATTCTAGGTACTTAAATGTCATAATTCATGCGGCGTGGGGGGTTGTCGTCAGAGCATGGCGCTCTTCAGTGTACGCGAACTCTTTGGTCCACACGGGACGACAGAGCGACAACTGGGATGGTGAGTTTGTTTTTTGCTTCCATGTATAGCATTCCCGTGGCGGTAATACCTACAGATCTCTCCAACATGTTTTCCCCTGTGCGCTGCGCGCTTCTTGTCTATCTACGACTGCCGAATGACATCTCGTATCGATGCACAGTGCAATGTCGAGAACGAACGAGGGTTCACACCTGCCAAAATTGCGTGTGCAGCGACGAAGTACCCAGAGAAAGTGTCCGCATCGTTCATTAGAACACGTGGTGGACTTAGTCTCCATGCAGCGTGAAGTCTACGGCGCATGACGTTTGCAGCATACCGAAGCGATTCCCTTCGTTCCCCGTTGATGCGGTTATTTCTCACTTCATATCAAGGCCTCTCTGAATGAGGCGAACCGCGGCAGGTGGCGAAGCGGATGACCTGTGCACAGCAAATCGTGGAAACTAGGAAGTGCTGTAGAAGGACGTACCACTCACCGCACGAGGAATGGCGCGCGTCCGGCTCAAGGCAGGAAGCGAGGCTGCGGGTGGCAACATAGGGTAAGAAACGGGGCCGCCGAGGCATCGACAATGCCATCTCTCATAAGAGGTGCCAATTGGTGGAATAGGTAATACGCCGCGCCCTGCACGCCCTAATAGACGCCTAACTCAGAAGTGCCGCAAGGCGAAGGGGATTTAATATCAAAATTCAACACCTGTATTGCAGGCGGTAGGAGGCCGTCGTTCCAACATTCGAGCGCGAGGCACTTCCTGGGTGAAGGCCAGTCTCCAGTCAAATTCTCGGGGTGGAATAGAAATCAACAAGGTCCTCGCACGTTCGTACCATGATGCAGATCGGAATGAATTGGCTCTCACGACAACACAAAACCCTGTATCGGCCAGTTTCTGTCAGGAAAGGGGATATGAACATCATAGCAATACGACCTTCGCGCACGAGCAATTAATAGCGAGAGTATACTGTACACCGAACATTGACGCTGCTAGAGAAGCAAAGCGTGTGGAACTATACCTAGCTCGCCATCGTAGAAAGAACAGAAATCATCATAGAAATCCCTGGAAATGACGATCAATCATATCACCGTTAGATGGGAAGGCTACGCATCCATGGGTCATCCAACAGCTCCTGCGCAGTCGCTCGTCTCTCCGGGAGCCATTGAAGCATGCGATTGACGAAGTGAAGAAATTGCTCTTTCTCTTCACCATCAATTTTTGTCACCGTGTCTGCTAGGGTACGATATGGAACACTGCATAGTGCCAGGAACTCGCCTGGATATTCGAAGTTGTCCAGAGAATCTGCTTTATCAACTAACGACACGCACCGTCAGCGGCGAAGTGAATGCCAGTTTGGTTACCTCGTGCCAAGAGCTCTTTCGGAGGGGGGCCCAGTAAACCAATGAGCTGCGCAAGATGTGCATGGCTGGTGTACTCTCCCCTGTGAGTGGAGTCGGCACCATCAAAAAGAGCCCTTCCTTCCACGAGGTCCCAAAGCTTGGCACGTCAAATCGACATAAGTTCGCAATAAAAGAATAGTATAAGGAAGCCAGAAAACACGCACCATTGTGCCAAGGTTCCATATGTCTACAGGGTATGACCAAGGGGCGCCTAGTATTGCTTCCGGTGCGCGATAACAGTTGGGTTGGATGGGATGAGTGAATGTCTTCTGAGAGCCAGTCACTCGAACCGCAGCGTCAAAGTCGGCTATCTTTGGTCGACCAGGCGACAACTTGGGGCGGCCGAAATCATTCCGAGACAGGTAGATAGTACGGTCAGGAAGAATTTTGCGAGGCGACGGCGAATTTATCTCGTCAGCCACAACGTCCTCCAACGACAGTGTCTTCTCGAGGCCGACGAGTACGTTCTCGGGTTTCAAATCTGAAGGCAATATATTAAGAATGGTAGAGCAGTGGAAAATCTGCGCCCGCCTGTATGTATAACATTGCACTCGTTATGCAGGTAGGACAATCCGGTGAGAAGGAACTTGAGCACAAATCCCAAAAGCTTCATTGGAAAAACGCCGCCAGGCATGCGACGCTGGAGTAGCCAAAGAGGTTCCCTCATGGGTTTGTAAACGAGACACAGATGTGGCCCACTAGGACCCAGGATTTCAAAGGAATCTTGGACCAGTCTGACATATTCGAGGCCGGGATGTCCAGGTTTTGCGGCGGCAATGTGACGAGAGAGTTCCAATTCGTGCCGTGCTTCCTCAGCCCGATCAGGAGAGTTCGTGCAGATCTTCACAATCGCATACCTCTGCTTGAAACTACTCATGCTTCAGTGCCTATCAGAGTAGCGTCTGGCGAGCACGTACCGCATAAGATTTCGAGCCAGCCAGACGGTCGAATTACCGCCGAAGCCCACCTTCACAGCGATTTCGTACGTGCCATGAAAGACTTCACCAAGCTTGACTGGATAAAATTGCTTTGGATCATAGTGTTGTCTCCTCTCTTCCTCGACAGGGACATCGAGCGGGAGAATCGCTG